ATTAAAAGGAAGTAATTGGGTGAGGGGCCAGATACGAGGCGCACAAGTGACGCTCTATAATTGCTCATTCACTGTAGAAACATCTGGGGACCCAGGCTCTCGAGGAGGCGCTACAGCGGCTTACCAGTCGGTGTGCGGCTCGTCGATGACTAGCAGCACCCTAGCGGCGGCACCCCCGCGGCCTGCGCCCCCAGAGCCGCCGCCCACCTGCTCGCTGAAGGTGGCGGCTGCAGCTGCTGTGGTCTGTTTGACCGCGTTGGACAGTGACGAGAAGAAGCCACCGCCCCCCGAGGACCCGGGACTAGGGGCTGCTGGAGAGGCCACTGGTGCGGCCGTGGAGGTCCTCTCGGCAGTGGCGGTCATGGAACCGGGTGTGGCCCCGGGGCTGGCGGCCGAGGGAGGTGGCGGAGGAGGCTGCGGGCGCTGCAGGTCTGTCATGTACCCATTCGGCAGATTGGCCATGAAGTTGCTGTCCGACAGGCGGCGCCGCAGGTAGTTCATGGCGGCGTCTTGGGGCAGGGGTTCCAAGGGGCAGTGGGTCCGTGGGCCGCGGAAGCGGAGCGCGAGGGGCCCAGAAGCACGGCGCTCTCAGGCACGACGCGACTTCTCTGCTGCTCGCAGCAGACTGAGGCAGCGCCGAGGCTCCGCCGCCGCAGCGCGTATGGTCGCGCCCGCAACCCCCTATCTCGCGCCTCTCGTGGTGCGGTCCAACTAGACCCACGGTGGCACGGACGCGACCAAGGCGGTGGGGAAGGGGAGTTTGGGGAGGGCTGGCAAGTGACGTCAGCCCGCCCTCGGTGCTGGGGAGGTGTTGGCGCTCGCCGGCGGCGGGGGCGAAGCCTCTGTCCGCGGTGCTGAATCCTACAGTGCGCACGCGCCACACTGCATTCTCTACCCCTCCCCCTCGGATAGGCGATGCGCAATTTGGGGAGTGGGGGTGGGGTTCTTGTCCGGAGGGTCGGGACTCACAGTAAGGAAGCTCCCTTCCCACAACCCCAATCCATTTAGCTGTTTCTTTCTGATCCTTAGGCTCTCTCACTTTCCTACACTGTTACCCTCCCCAAATATTCGGTTGCCGTGTTGATTTTCACTGGTGAAGGCATTTGGGGGTGAGGGTGGGGGTAGAGGCACACTCAGAAGGGACAATAAAAGTAGAAATTCTCCTTACTGCAGTGTTCCCGGCGAGACCTGTTTCCTGAATCCACAGTGTCTCGCAAAGAAAAGAGCATGGGAATGGCGTAAACATCACCAGACAAACAGAGGCAGACGCTTGAGTAGTGTACATATCCTTGCCCTTGGTGGTGATAGCCTGAAGAAACATAGGAAATAACACACACAGAAAAATTAAGGAAAGTCACAGAGTATATGTACATCATAGAACACACAGACATCCAGTTATACTTACGGACACACAAGCCCAGTGTAACATACATGAGCATATTGACCACACATTATACACACAGGCAGCACATTGACACACAAAGGCCCAGAGGGTCTCAACAAGTATACACATCTAGAGAAACCACATGCTCTCAGATGAGCATGAAAATCCTGGGTATACAATGCAAAAACATTCCCTGCAGTGCTAGCTAGCCCTGATGTGTATCCAGCCTCCTTCCCAATTACACATTTAGTCTACATGCCTTCATGCCTCTGTTCTGGACTTAGCCCAAACCCAGTGTCATCAGTGTCCATGGCTCTACATATAAGAACTTTGCAGAGAGGAAGCCAAACAATATTTTCATGTGAGAGAGTAAGGTTATTATGGTGGTCTGAATAAAAATAAGCCCCCATAGGCTCATATATTTGAATGTTTAGTCACCAGGGAGTGACACCATTTGAAAGAATTAAAGGGATTGGGAGGTGCAGCTTTGTTGGAGGAAGAGTGTCACTGGGGGTGGGCTTTGAGTGTTCAAGAACCCATGCCAAGCCCAGAGTCTCTTTCTCTGTCTGTTGCCTGTGGGTCAGTATGTAGCTCTCAGCTACTTCTCTAGCATCAAGTCTGTGTACCTGTCACCATGCTCCAAAACATGATCATAATGGACACACCTCTGAACCTGCAAACCCCCAATTAAATGTTTTTTATTATGAGAATTGTCTTGGTCATGGTACCTCTTTACAGCAACAGAACATTGACTAAGACAGCAATCCACATAGTGGTAGAACAGAAACCATTGTGCCAGCTTGTAAGATCCTGGCTACAACAAAATTTTAAATTCATAGTTATTTGTTTATGTGTACACTGGCATATCCCACCCTCAAACACTACTATGCTAAGAAAATATAATTTCTACTTTGCAAATGAGGGGATTCCACAAACTTCAAATCACTTTCAAAGAAGCACGTTTACTGTGATCAGTCTATGTGTCAGGAAAATGGAACAACTAGTTCCAGTGTGTTCATAACAAAGTGGAGTTGGATTGTAGTAAGGGATAGGGCCAGAATGATTGAATACATCATTGACCCTAGTGAGCAATGAGTGAGCAATGATGGTGAACTAGATAGCCTGGCAGGAGATATGCAAGTAGATTTGGGGTCTCTTGCCTGAAAGACTTCTTAAGCTGCCAGATCTGTTATCTAGCTTAGACTGGCCTGATAGTATATAGCCCAGATTGGCCACAACCTCTCCAGTAAGGAAACTTCTGGTACGCAATACCATGCTGGGCTATTTGTTTATTTCTTATTCATTAAGTCAATGGTTTGTATGGGACCTGGAGTTACATATATGGGTTCAAGATCAGCCTTCGTCATATGGTTGGGAAAGTGATTTAATCTTTATGAGAGTTGGTTTCTTCATCTGTAAAAGGAGTAAGCAGAGGAGAGGCAAAACCGTTGTCCCTTTGCAAGTGCTGTAGTCCCATCAAAAATGCCTTTCTATTCAGTACTCAAAACCTGGCCCGTCACCATCTCACTTCTAGAAACCATGTTTCCACCTAACTTTTTTCAGCCCTTTCCCACTAAGTTCCTACAGCTCCCAAGTCCAACATTCCCAAGCCATCATTTTACCCCTCTTCCATCCTAGTCAGCTTTAGTCTGTGCTCTAGGTCTTTGTTTGGCTAATCCCTTTTCCTCCTCTGCAGGATGCTCTCTGGCAATTCAAATGAGGAACTCCCTGCATACTAGGTATTTCTAATGTTCTAAAATGTGTAATTCTATTGCTAATTTAAGAAAAATCATGGTATGTGGTGACTTCTCTGGTGACTCAGCAGTTGCAGGTCTTCTGACTGTTTTGGCTACTCTGGGTCTGAATCAGGGCTCCGCACAACCACCTTGACTATAGCTCTTCCTGGAAAACGCAGACTCTTAGTACTTGTAGCTTCCTAGTGCCATCCAGAAATTAAAACAATTAAGAGACAATCTTTTGTAGGTTGTCTTTTAGAGAAATTTGCCTCCCACTCCTCCTGGGGTGTCTTAACTCAAGGCAGAGGGAAATCTCCACACCATTTTCTCCAACTGGAGTAGGCATACAGAAAAGTCTAAGAATCATTTCTTGTGTGTTGATGAGCAACAGCTTAAGCACACACTGCTGATACATGTTCATTTTGACCATAGCACATAGCCATGCCACCCTAGTGTAAGTACACACCCTTCTCATGGCTTTGGTGCAGGTATAACCTCTTAAACCACATACCCAATACAGCTCTAAAAGTCTACATTATAGAGATGTGTATCCCACAGTGCATACATTCACAGCCAAACTTCCACTTTCTTGCAAGGACCTATCTCTTACACTCTGTAGTAGCAACAAGAAACTCTAACTCAGTCTTCTCAAGATGACTATGTTCTCATGGACTTTTATTTACCTCTACCCACCAACTGGATCATGCTACTGACAAGATTCTGGGTCTCACCAATCTCCTACACAAAAAGATCCCCTTCACCTACTGCACAAAGTTGCAAACTCTGCTCCTAATACTTAACACTGTGTCGCATGTGCGGCACTTCAAAAACATTCTGTTTATTACCTTTCTGGGCTAGTTTCTCCTTTGTAGAGTGGGGATAATATTGACCCTTGTGGTTTCATTGTGGATTACATGAATCCACACTATGGCAAGCCTTGAGATACTATTTGGCTCCCAGTAAGTTGCTTTCTAAGTGTTAGCTATTACCCCTATTATGATTCCTTCATAATTCTATCATGAGGTGGCTTAGCATTCACTGAATGGTAAATGAATGATCAAATTCCACAAATACTCATCTGGGTGTGTTACCTTTACTGTGGAGACACGGGCAGTTGATTCCTTTTGTCCCTTGTGTCCCCATGCCCAGCACTACTGTTAATATATAGGAGGCACTAAGCACTGAATACATGTTTGAATAAAAGGAATGCTTATTCTGAGTGTGCTCACTGGCTTGCAAATGTCCTCGCTTTCTACCAGTCCTCTTTCAGCCCAGACGCTTAGACTTATCTCCAGCATACAGTAGACACTAAAGTGTTAAATGAACAGATACAAAAAGATGCATCTGGCTTTGCCTTGGGAGTTCCTCTAGGCTGATGCTAATCTAGCTTCTCTTTGCCCCTGCCTTAGCTCAAAGTGCATCATAGCCACCTCCTCAGTGTTCCGTCCCCAGCTATTTGTTATTGGTAATTGTGGTGTCAGAGCTAGGCTATTTTCAGTGGGTGGGTGCAGGTGCTTCCTCAGCTGGGTGCCAACTCTGGTCACATCCTACCCAGTTCACTACTTTGGCAGATCTGCCAGCTGAGAGGCTCTGATGAGTGGGTGGGAACCTAGGGAACTTCATAAAGAGACAGCAACTAAATAGCACATGGGCTAATCAAAAAGTTCCTGCCAAGGTGAGCAGCCAATGACAAAACCCACCTTCTTGACAGTCTCCCAGCCCACCCCCTTATAGTTATGGCAAAGACAGGCTGGGGCTGCAAGTACAATAGAACAGAATATTTCACAACAGGCCACTACTACTTTGCTCAGAAAATTCTGTTGCCCCACTAACAGGAAAGGGGGTATGTTAGCCCCCTTCTTTAAGGAATCTTAGAAGAGTTTAGAAAGACTGTTTATTGAAGTCTGGAAGATAAGGGGGTTAGAATGGAAGCAAGAGATTTTAGGGCTTCTCCTCCTCTGGGTCTTTGCAGGCAGGCACATGTAGACATGGGCGTTTCTCTTCCACCATCAGCTTCTGCCCCTGTAGCTCCTCACACAGTGATCGTGGGGTTCCCCAGAAGGTAACATTCTTCTCACCCTGACCTTCGACCACGGAAACTGTAGGCCTGGGATGTTGGGGAAGCAATGGAGAAGAGAAGCTCAGGAACATCAAGAATGCATTGAAAAACTTATTTTTTTTTTTGAGAGTCGAATCTCAAAGTCAATGATCCTACTGACTCAGCCCCAAAATATAGGAATTACAAGCATGTCTCATAAGCAGAATCATTTTTTGTGGTAGTAGAGATTATACTTGCTAGGCAAATGCCCTACATACCCCATAGCATAGCATTCTTTTTCTTCTTCTTTTAGGCTCTACTGACCTGTCCCGTCTCTATTTTTTTTTTAACTTGGAGAGTCTCACTGTATCACCCAGGCTAGCCTTGAACTCATTCTGTAGCCTAGGAAAGTGTTGAATGTGTGGTTCTTTTGGCTCTAGCCTTTCAAGTAGTTAGGATTACAGGTTTGCATTACCACATCTTGATTAGCAACTTACTGTGTACCTAATACTACATTTATCTGTGATACTGGGCTATTTCTGATAAAAAAAGAAAAACTTCCTGTGCCTGTTTCCCTTATCTAAAAACTGGCAGGATTAGCAATACTCTCTTACCTCCAAACCCTTTCTCTGTCCTCATACTCACCTTAAATCCCTACCCCAAGCCATTCTTTCTCCTTCTCCTCCTTCTGCCCATTTCTCTTCTCTACCTCTCCCCACTTTATCCGAATGGAACCTTATATATCCAGGAATGTTTTTGCCAGGATTCTTTCTCCTAGTAGGCAAGCCCTTCATTCATTTTCACCCAGATTCTCTCAACTGGTCCTTCTCTACATAACCTTTAACTCTTCTTGAGGAACCAATTTGACATCCACAGCTGAGAGATCCCAACGACAGGCCTCTCACTAGCTGGGAAATGGGCACTGAATCTTGACCTCTGTGGTACAAGGAAGGGATGGCTAGCTTAACCTTTTCTAATCCCTGGTCCACTGTGGTGTCCAGTAAACACTTAGGGTGGCTCATCAGCTCTCTCCACGACCCTGCTCACAATTTGGATGTCAGGAATGTTTCTTCCAATCCTCATCTGCACAATTACCTTTGGGCCTGATTAGCTTTCTAGGCCTAGAGGACAGTGATAGTCTCATTGCCACTTACCTGTCATTTTTATATGAATTGTATCATAGCTCATCTCACCTGGGTCCCTTCTGTCCATAGATGTGGGTTCTTTTATCAGCAACTGTTGCTGAAAAGGCCTTGAAATGTGGAGTGGATGAATGGAGGCATTGGTGACTTAGTAAGCCAAAGTGTGCTAAGAGTTCAATGGGGAAGGCCACATGAAAGACTGTGTGCTTGGAAGCATTAGTAACCAAGGAGCACAGAGACCATAAAGTCATCATCCCTAATTGCCTCTCCTATTCTTTTTCTCCTCTTCTCTAAACTGGAAGATGGTACTGGCAAGACAGGCACTTTTGATGCAGTGGTGAAGCTTATGTTCAGTGTAACCAACTCCCTTCTCATTATTCAGCATCATGACCCCCTCCTAGGAACAAAATGTCCCCCAACTCACGAGAACTTGGGGAGCAAAGGTGTGCAGAGACGCTGGCGGACACGGGTGGGGTTGGGTCCACATGGTGGTGTGCACAGACTCCAGGTACTCCACTGTGACCATGAACCTTTCACTGCAATGGGGGAGGCGGGTAGAATGTCACAGTCAAAACTGGAGGTCTCAACAGGAAAAGGAGGCTGTAGGGACACAGGATCCCTAGCATTGCTACTGCATAGCTGTCCACCCTTACGATATTGTCTGTGGGTTACTCACAGACACAATTATGGATGTCATAGCAGTGTCGAATATCCTGGTGGTTCCCAGAACATCTCTTTCCATCAAACTTGCGGCCTCCACAGGTCCTTGTGCGTGACTGCTGGCCTGGGATTTCCTCACAGCTGATAGATTTCATGTTCACACGGCTACAGTGACTCCATTTCCCCCAGGCTTCCCACTCCCCATTTACTGTAGAGACAAGGGACAAAGAGGTTTGGAGCGAGTAAAGGGTCTCAGGGGAAGGAATGAAGACTCTGGAAAGGAGTGGGAATGACAGAGTAGAGGTGAACCAAGGCAAGAGGGCAGGAAGAGGAGAATCAGAGGCAGGAACAAGGCTTTGTGAACAGGAAGTAGGCAGCAGTGATGGGCAATGGGCTTAGGCATGGGAATAGTGCCTCCTAAGTTGCTAACCAGGGCAATGTATGGCTGTGTTACAGATGTGGGTTCGAGTAGCATCACCAGCACAGAAGAGGCCCCCATGACGGGGTACAGGATGATCACATGTCCGTCGTTCTAGGGTCTGGCCTAGGCCACAGGTCACAGAGCATGGGCTCACAGGGCCCCATGGCCCCCAGCCACCAGCAACTGTTGGAGTGGGAAAGAAAGTGAAATGACAGACCACAATAATCATGTATACTCCTCAGCTTCCTTCCCTGCCATCTCTAGACACGAGGCAAATTGTCTTTAAATGATGGGCTTCTAGTCCACGGTACTAGAACTCTATTCCCTCAAATACCACAGTATCTTTACCAGAAATCCAAAGATCCACTAGCTATGTGCCATTGACCTTATCCCTACATACCTGGACAGGGTGGTAGGCCAGTGCAGCCCCGATGCTCATTGGCTGGTCCTGAGCAGGGTTTCCCAGGGGGCTGGTGGGAAGGTGCTGGTGCAGAACACGTGCGGCTTCGTGTTTCCTTAGGTTCTTGAGCTCCACCCAGGCAGGATCCTGAGCAGGGGCTCCAGGGGCCCCAGGCTGCCCAAGCACCATGTGCTGTGGTAGGAATGGAGGAATGAACTGTGGTCAAGCATGCTCAAGTCTTTTCTCTTTGGCAGTTTTCTGCTCTAACCCAACAGATCCATCCTGGGCACCCCTTCGACTGCCCTTACTCACTGGGGCAGAGCTTCTGAGTGTCACAGGCCTGTGATTGCTGGGCCTCTCCTGGGCAGTGGCCCCCACACTTAGGAGCAGGGTGATCACATACTCGTTGACGGGTCTGGGTTCCTTTGGAGCAGGTGACAGAGCAAGGCCCCCAGGGTGCCCACTCAGACCAACCACCCATTTCTGTGGGAGAAAAAGAGATGGGAGGTGGGGGTGGTACTTAGGATTCCTTCCTTTCATGTGTGTACCGCAGATGCTAACTCTGTCCTCCTATCTCTTGTTCCTATTTCTGGCCTACCAGTATTGCTTATCTGGATTATGACTGTGGCCTTCATACTCATCCTTCTGTTTCAGATATGGCCTATCCCCTTCCCAACTCAAGTCAAAGTGAATTTCTCCCCTTCCCATCCAAATCTCTTAGACTAAGGTCAATGTAATCACTTCTAAGCATTCTCCTCCAGCAATCCCAACCTCCTCAGTTCCCCTTAAAGCCACACACAGGTCTGTCCTCAGGGCCTCTGCACTGATATTTCTGGCCCTGGGGGCTGGGTAGTAAGAAGGGCATGTCCAAATTTCTTATCTTCCTTACCTGGACAGCATGGCTGGTCCTCACAGGCCTGTAGCTGCCACTCAAGGATCCTAGGAGCCACCTTCTCAAAGCACTGCCCACCCCTGCCCACACAGCGCCTGTGTCGCAGTTGGGACCCCTCAGAGCATGTAACTGAGCAGGGGGCCCATGAGGACCATGGTGACCATCGTGGGGACCTACAGAGAGGAGCCCATGTTTCATCCTGGTTTGAACTGACTCTAAAGAGTATAGGTTGGCACAGGAGAGATTCTGGGTAAATATACAAGATGAATCAATGAGAACCTATTTACCAACTAGGGATGGTGGGGAATTGAATAAGAAGAGGTAAGTATACAGTAAGTGTATGATGAATTTCATTTCCCTTTATGACAAAGGCCCTGGAAATCCCCTAGGGGCAAAGCCATACACAATAAGCAAATATAAGGACTAAAAGCCCGGAACTTCTGCCAGGAACCCAATAGGTCACCACACTGTACAGCTGCAGGAAGACAGGAAGTGCTTAGTAAACAGGAGCTCAGAGGTCCCTTCAGAAACATCCTAGAGCTACTCTTAGCCTCCTACACAGGACTGGGTATGCATGCTATTGCTAAAGAGACACAAACTGTTAGCATGATGGGGGTGGGAGGAGAACTGCTTTCCAAGATCTCCAAACCCATCATATTTACAGTGTTACCTTGAGTACACAGTAGGCAGTCATAAAACATATCTAAAATACAGAAAGAGTCAACTTATGTAAACTGTAAGTCATGAACTGAGGTGCTTTCTGAGATCTAACTGCCACAGAGGAATCACACAATGAATGTGGCACTACAATGAAAGGTTTGGGCTTTGTCCTCAGAATTTACCCAAAGTTTTCCAGGCCTCTGAGGGATCTATGTACGATACGCACTTAAGTATGATCACCAAAAATAACCAAGTTGCAACCCACCTGCAATATTTACAGGAAGCCCTGACAGTGAAAAAAGTATTTCAACGAGGGCTGATTTTGTTTCCACTAGGAGACATTTGGCAGTTTCTAGAGTCAGTTATAGTTGTCTTTTTTTATTCTTCTCTCATACAATACATTCTGACTAGTTTCCCCTTCCCTCAGATCTACTTCTTCATTTCTCTTCAGAAAGGAGCAGGCCTCTCAGGGATATCAAGTGAACACAGTATAACAAGATTAGGCACAAAACCTCTTATCAGGGTTGGACGAGGCAATCCAATAGGAGGAAAAGGATCCCAAGAGCAGGTGAAGAGTCAGAGATACCCCAATTCCTGTTAAATACTTAGGGGAAGGTCAGGTGTGTTATAAAATACCCAATAATGCTCAGAACTCATACCCCCAACAAAGAGCTCCAAATGGCAATAGTGCCAAGGTTTTGAAACTCTGAGCTATGGTCATGAGGAAGACTTGGGTGGGGGACACTTTTAGAAGCCCAATGGAAAGAGAGTACAGTTCTAGATTACAGGGCTTAGCCTAGGTTCCCCCAAACCTGCATGCCTGACAGGGACCACCACCATGCTCCTGGAAGGCATAGGCAGCATTGAGACAGCAGTTTTCCACACTGACATCTCCTCCAAGCAGGCCTGCGCATTTGCCAGAGGACTCCTCATACTGGGTGAAGCAGAGCACAGGGTCTGAACCTGTAAGATCAGGAGAGGGGAAAGGACAATCAGGATGTGGTTGACCTGGGCATTCCTGGGAGGACATCTGAGCCCTCACCCACTTACCTGTGGCTGGCAGGATAAGCAGTAGCAGCAGGAGCAACTGAAGGGCTTGCATTGTAGCAAGCATTTTGAGCACTATGTCTTTGTACTTTTATAGAGAAGAGGCCTTACTTAATCTGGGCTGATCTGGTCAGGAAAGAGGAACCCCGGGTAGGAGGAACTGGGAGGGTGTGACCTTTTTAGCTCTGACCTTTCCCTTGTGAACTCTGCCTCCTCCTCTTCTCTCCCCTCTCCATTTCCTGTGTTACCCTTGGTCCTGTTCTGACACCCAATCTTTGTCACCCCATTCTACCCAGAAACCTCTTAGTTTTCAACTAATGCATGAGATAAATTCTCACAGAAGGGCATTGGAGCCTGCAAGTCTGAAGTAAGAACCACCTAGGTATGTGACCTTCGACAAGTCACTTTAAATTCTCAGCCTTAGTTTTTCCTATTTTTTTTTTTTGAGACAAGGTTCTATAATATAGTCATACCAGGCCTGAAACTTGCTTTTTAGACCAGGCCTGCCTTGAACAGGGATGTCACACCATGGCTGGCTCATTTTCTTAGCTGTAAAATACATAATCTTGACTATAGTGAGAGGATCAACTTCAGTGGGGTACTGAAGAAGGGTGAAATGAGGGTAGCCCTCCTCTAGTAGTCTGTCCAGGAGAAGGCATCAGAACAACTGCTTCATCTTCCTTCTTGAAAACCCACCTCTTTCCTAAAAGTGAGGTTCCTGTGGACAACATGTATGTATGGGAGGTCAATGCAAGGGAAGTGAGAAAGGGAAGTGGCATTGTGCGGGAAGTGATTCAGAAGTGGGTGGGGGTAGGGGGTGTTTCAGGCGTACCCATTGCCCAAGGGGAGCATCTGAAGAAATCCTTAGGGTCTACAGGAAGAGAGAAACATCTGGGCTGTGTTCTATGAGTACCTAGGGTAGATAACATTTGCCTCTAAGCCTGTTTCCTTTTCTGTAAAAGGTGCACACAAACAGGGCCTTAGGAGGTACAGGCCTGTAATCTTAGCTACTTTGGAGGTTAAAACAAGCAGAATGAAAGTTCAAGGCTTGCCTAGGTTACAGTGTGGGTTCAAGGCTACCCTGACTAATTCAGTGAGATTCTGTCTCCAAAAATAAAACTTACAGAAGGGCAGGGTAGAGGTGAGATTGCTCAGTGTGTGACGGTGCTTGCTGCAAAACCTGATACCCTGAGTTTAATTCCTAGAGCTCACATGATAAAAAGAGACAACTGACTCCCTTAAATTGTCCTTTGACCTCCACAGGTGCATTGTGGCACCTGTGTGTTATGTCCTCCCAATAAATAGATGCAGTAAAATGTTTAAAGACTGGGGGTAGCTAGAGATGTAGCTCAGTTGGCAGAGTGCTAACCTAGCATTGATAAAGCCCTCAATTTGTTACTTAGCATCATATAAATTGAGCACAATGATACCTGTAGTCTTGGGAGGTAGAGGCAAGAAGATAGGTACATGAGATCCAGTTTAAAAAACAAATAAGCAAGCTGGGTGGTGGTGGTGCACGTCTTTAAACCCAGCACTCGGGAGGCAGAGGCAGGTGGTTCTCTGTGAGTTCGAGGCTAGTCTGGTCTACAGAGTGAGTTCCAGAACAGTTAGGACCATTGCTCAGGGAAACCTTGTCTCAAAAAACCAAAACCAAAACATACAAGCAAGCAAAGGAATGGCTGGGAGTTTAGCTCAGTAGTATGCCATTTGCCCAGCATGTGAGCAGCTTTGGGTTTGATCCCCAGTACTGAAAAAATAAAGCACATTTACAGCACCTGACATAGATCTGTTACTGCCTGAGAATTAAAATACCTAGCTAGAATAGTTCCTGGCTGTGTTTATTAAATTGTTCAACATTTATTGAGGGTCAGAGTGGTTCTCAGCATTAGATGGAATAGAGAATAGGACAAATAAAAATTACTACCTCTGAAGAACTCAAACTCTACAAGTATAAAGTAGCAATAAATACCTTTCACAAGTCTTTTCCTGTGACCCTTCTTGGATGGCATCACTTTCTAGCCTTAGGACATACCAGAATCACTCACAGGGCTTCTTGACCCAACTGAAAATTGCTAGGTCCCACCTATTTTTCACTCAGCAGGTGTGGCATGGGGCTCCACTAATGCATTTCTGAGAAGCTCTCAGGAGACACTGATACTGGTTTAAAGAACTTTGAGAAACACTATTTTGGTCCTTGATCCCACTTTAGTTTTCTTGGTGGGTCATATCTCGAGAAAAAATTTTTACAGGTGCCTTGTTTTACTGTTAATGCTGATTCATCTTCAGCCCATTTTCCCCAAAGGAAAATCTGAGCTCCACAGATCGGCTCTTTATTTTCTAGTTTTTTTTTTTTTAAACAAGCCTTAACGAGTAAAATTCTAGAACCTGCTTTTAAAAAAGCACTCTTGTGCCCTGGCAATGTAGTTTAGTAGTAGACTGCCTAATTAGCATGAGCTGGACCTTGGGTTTGATTCCCGGCATCACAAAAATAAAGAAATATATAAAAATAATCTTTATAATCCACAAAAGGGAGCTTGAGAAAGAAGACACTCTAGTTTTCCCAGTCACAGATAAGTAACATTCTAAAGATTGAATCAAGATTAAAATAAGTCGATCAGGGGTTGAAATAGAAGTCCCTCAAGAATCTGCTTTTGATTTGGGGGTTGTACTAGCTGGTTTTATGTATCAACTTGGTACAAGCTAGAGTCACCGAGAAGAAGGAACCTCAGTTGAGGAAATGCCTCCATGAGATCCAGTTGTAAGGCATTTTCTTAATTAATGATCAATGCGGGAGAACCTAGCCCATTGTGGGTAGTGCCATCCCCAGGTTGGTGGTCCTGTGTTGTCAGAAACCAGGATGAGCAAGCCATGTGAAGCAAGCAAGTAAGTAGCACCCCGCCATGGCTTTTACATCAGGTCCTGTCTCCAGGTTCCTGCCCTGTTTGAGTTCCTGTCTTGACTTCCTTCAGTGGTGAACAGCAATGTGGAGGTGTAAGCCAAATAAACCCTTTCTGCTCCAACTTGCTTTTTGGTCATGGTGTTTCATCACAGCAATAGAAACCCTAATTAAGACGGGGTGACAAAATTTTTGGTAATATTTGTATCCATCATAGAAGTGCCCTATTTTCTGAGAACATGTTTGTCTCTAACTGTGTGCCTTGAACAAAAGGATCTTGTTAAGATTTCAAGACTTCAGCTGTCAGTGCTATTATCTTGTAAAAGCAAACCTGCCTGGCTCCATTATTCAATCATCTTTTACTCTGGTAATAATGTTATAATCTGTATTTCCTTTGTTCCTACATGGCATAACATAAATACTCATAGGATTCCCTGTGGATGAAGGTTGTCAGCACTTTTTTCCCACACACTTTTAAGGTATCCAAATGATTTAACAGATTCCTTATTTAAACAAAGAATGAGAATCTGGTATTATTTATTACTGCCTGATAAAATTCACTTATCTTTCTTGTCAGTTTCTCTGAGTATCAGCCCCATAAAGAAAGTTATTTTTAGGGGGAGGCAAATAAGACAGGGTCTAGTCTTGAATTCATGGCAGCCCACCTGCATACTGGGATTATAGGCTTTAGTCACAGACATCTCCATGCTACTGTCATGGCAATCCTGCTGCCTCAGAATCCTGAGTGTTGAGAAGGACAGAAACTTTTGTCTAATTTGTTAGCTGTTAGGTCTTCAGAACACCAGACAGGTATGAGCTAACAGTAGATGAGCAACAAACATCTACAGGCAATCAATAAATGTTGAATTTCTAGTAAGTACTAACAGGACATTAAAGCAAAGCAGGCATCACCTTCCAGCATCTATTTGAAATGCTAGGACCAGATAAGAATATCTGGAGATTGTATGAGGAAGGAGTTCTGGGTAAAGTCCAGGTGATTTAATCTCAGCATTTCAAGTTTGAGGAACTGGAGGCTTACTTAGGAGACTGAGTAGGAGAGGCCTGTGGAGGAAGAGGACAGAGGAGGCCCTGGTACATGCATTCTGTGATCTCTTAGATATGGCCTCATTTGATATCAATCACTTTCTCTTATTTTTTCACTTACATACTAGAGTAGAGACTAGAGATTTCTAGTCTCTACTAGAGCCTCCTAGGAACAGGTTCATATATATATATATATATATATATATATATCTTTATGGTGTTTGTGTGTGTGTGTGTGTGTGTGTGTGTGTAGGTTAGAAGACAACTTCTAGGAATTGGTTTTTTCCTTCTATCATTGAGTCCCAAGGACTCAGGTTGTCAGATTTGATGATAAGTGCATTTACCCACAGAGCCATCTTGCTGGCCCATTTTATTTTACTAGGTCAGTGAATGACTTTTGAGAGTCAATTCTCTCCTCCCAATATGTGGGTTCTGGGGATGGAAAACAGGTTACTATGCTTTGGGGCTAGTTTACTTAACTGCTGAACTATCTCGTCTGACCTACATGTAATTTTGTGTTCATTTTTTAAGATGATAGGGTTATGTAGCCTGCAGTGCTCTTGAATTGAATAGCCAATGGTGATGTTGAACACCTGATACTCTTGCTTCTACCTCCTGTGTGCTAGGATTACAGGCATGCACCACATTTGGCTTACATAATATTTATATGTACTTGATTATATAACTTTTCAGACACTATCATTCACTCAAGGTGTCATTGTCTCTGTTACTGACCCCCTGCCTCATTAGTCTTCTACTAACACACACACACACACACACACACACACACACACACACACACAGAGAGAGAGAGAGAGAGAGAGAGAGAGAGAGAGAGAGAGAGAAAGAATCATGTCTGTCTCATTTGGTTACTATCACCAGTACTTTCTCTCACCAGATCAATTTTACCACATGTATAAGCACAGTTCTACCATCACAGGAACTATTTATTTCTCTTGGCCTAATATTTTCTTACATGCACAATTACTAATGTATAGTCACCACTAAATAAGTCTCATGAAGTTACTTACACATATAAAAATCACAATTTCTCGAACCCTACTTCTCTCTTAAAGCCACTTAAGTTACATCCCCAAGAATTCCCTATTTATAGCCTGTTACAGAGTTCCAGTCTCCTCTGAACACACAAAGGCACAGTACTTCAGACACCTCATCTTCCTTACGAAGTAATAAAATTCT